ACACACACACACACACACAAAATACTGCTGAATTCTTTGAGACTTCAAAATACAGCCAAGAAAGTAAATTATACAAACTGTAACAAGTTAAAATTACAATTTCCAGGATCTTGTTTTTCTCTTTCTATGAAAATCAATATAATCTCATACTTTAACACACTTGTGAGCATTCTTGAAACAATTTATATATTCAATAATATAAAAAAGATAAATTGATAATCATTAAAAAAACAGTATTTTTGGTAAAAACAAATACCTTTTAGACAAATACTTAAACATTTGCTGATTTTTGTAGTTCAGATTCAATAATGGGCTCATGATCTTGTTGAAGACCACATATCTTAATAATAAAGATGGTAAACATTTTTCATGGAAAATAAACAGAAAAAGGGACTGAGAATTTAGGTAATATTACCAAAATAAGCCCAAATAAGGCTGCTGCCTTTTAGGTAACTCAGAACTGGTAAATAATTTTGCTTATGTAAATAGTTGTAGGCAAGGTATTATAAATCACAATCAGCTGTTGAATTTAAAAAAATAAAGTAACCTTTCCCCAAATAATTAGTTTGCATCTCAAGAAATCACAAACCAATGGAACTTCTGAATTAGAGAATTTTTTAACTTGCCTACTCTGAATATTCAATTAAAAATAAAAATTCCTATGTATTGAATCCCACTATAATGGAGAATTTACTGGCTACAAGGACACAGTTGCAGACTGACTCCTAGTTGCCTAGTTGCATCCTTCCTTCTTATTGTCTGTGTTCATTGAAATGGCCATTGGTAATAAAACGACCACTTGTAGATACCTTTCTACCCTCAGTTCACTATTCTATCTGACTGAAGTTGAGAAGTATCACCCATTATTTCAGCCACATCTGATTTATGACCACATATTGTCATGAAGTCCATATGTTATCATTTCTTTTCTTCCAATAGCACTGGTAGAGACACGCCTTACAACCAGAGACAGGCTAGTTTCTCCCCATGTCATCTTTAATATTCGACTTTTAATAGAATTTTAGGCATAAACAGTATTATTTAAAATGAAGACTAAGTATTACCATAATATTGAAAGTATTGCCTGATTTTTAGATTTGGACAGGGGGCTGAAGTCTGAAGTGATACTGGGAGACAACTGATGCATTTCTGGAGTCACAAACAGATGAGCTAGAGTAGACCCAGGGCATCTAACCTTGGGACATGGGGCTACAGTCAGAAGCTAGGAACCCAGAAACTCTGGTGTAGAACTTTCTGCTTTGGTAGAAAAACAAACACATTTCAGGATGGCTGAGGGTCAGACAGAAGAAGAGAAAGCTAGATCAAAGCACAGTCTGGATGGAAGCCAAAATAAAAGCTTTGCTTTAACCAAAGTTTCATGTAAGGAGAAAACTCCTCCAACTGTAAACCACTTGAATATAAGGGCAATGCCTGGCCAGGCATGTGTATGCGTGTGTGTGCATGCGCACACACATATACACACACACATATACACACACACACACTACACACACACACACAATTCATACATCATTCAATTAATGTGTGACTGAATGCATGATCCTTTAAAATCCAGACCTCAAATCTTACTCTTATCACACTTGATTTTTTTCAATTTTACTCTTAATTTTACAGTTTTAAATTGAGATATAATTTACATCTGGATCTTAAGGATTCAGTGCAATACTTTACAAGTGTATACACTGTATGCCCAGAACCAGCTTTATGGGTATGTGACCTGGGTAGCTGCACAGAATCCTGCATTTAGAAGGGGTTTGCACTTGGTTTAATGCTTTGATATTGCCATTTTAAAAGTCTTAATAACTTCTGAACAAAAAAAAAATCCTTTCATTTTGTACTGGGTCCTACAATTTATGAAGCAAATCCTAGGTGTAACACACACCTCTATCTAGAAAGGCAACATGTTACTCACGCAGAAGGCTTCTTCATGCCCTTCCTCACAGATTACTTTCACCCATTCTAGAACTTGTAAATAAACAGTATATTCTCGCTTTCTTTTTAAGGGTACTTTTATATGCAAGATCCAGCAGCAAAATTGGTCTAGAAATACAGTTTACATAATAGTTCTATGACTAAGTTGTTGGTAATATCTTGTCATAATCTCTAATCTTCCCGGAATATAATAGGAGTTTAATCACTTTTCATGACTAAGTAAATGGTAAATAAATAAGTAAATAATCTTCAGTGTTTTCTTGGACTCTAAAACCCTTCACCTTCTCTGTCATCCTAGTTACTCAGAAGGCTCAGTAAGGATCACATGTTCACGACCATCCTCAGAAACTTAGCCAGAAC